TCTCTAGACCTAATTTTACTTTTTAACTTTTGACTATTTTCTAACTATTATTTTGTTCTGTTTCTCTGTAATTCAGATGGAATATACATGCAACAATGCACAATCGTTATCTGAACCGGATTGCCATTGTTTCATGTATTACGGTATCGTCAATACCGTAAAAGTGCCATATGTGGTAACAAAGCACTCTTAGGGCCGCGTCATGTCGATGGATATAGGTTTAGACCGCATATGCTGGATATGCTGAGAGCAAGTGCATTAGGGTCTCAGGTGCCTTGCGGCTGACCCTGCATCTTGGGTCAAGAACCTCTATACCCATCACGCGACTGCGGCAGACTAAGGTGGTGAAGACACCATCCTGGCAGTCCATGTTGAAACCCTCAGTTTCCGACTTCAGCCCATTCGACCTGAGGATAGCGAAGGTCTGGCACTTTGATAAGCCGAGATCTTCAATGTTGTTAAAAAAGACCCTATGCATTGGCTAATCTTTGTATTACCGCAGGAGTAAAGAGATCTCTACGGCTTTTATTTGGGCCTTTTACTGAACGGGTTCAACTCGGTGACAGAGTTGAGGTCACCTTGTTCATTGGCGAAAACTAAACCGAGTTCATTAGCGGCATAATTATATACATTTACACACAAATTATTCTAAATATCATTCGAATTTTATTTATGAGATTTCATTCTTCTGAAATGAAAAAAGTTCATCAAATTAAGTGATCTGAAATGAAAAACCATAAATGCCGGGAATAACACATTATTGAGTCCAGTGGCGGCTCGGAATATAGTTTAGCCAACATTATTAAAAAGAAAAGTATGCCACTGATATTTCTTGTAAAATTGATTTTTATTTTTAGGTGAAACATCTGAAAATGAAACTTTATCAATTGAGGTTATTTCTTTTCTGAGTTCCTTCTGATTGACAGAAAAAAAGTGAGAAAGTANCACAGGGTATCCGGTAAATGCAATTCTTGGAATCGCAGTCCGCGTTTGGTGGCCTGGTTTTCGTGAGGCTGCTACGGATAGTGTTCCAAGTACAACATCAGAATCTGCTTCAGATCCGGTAACACTATGCGTAGCAGGCTTACGAAAACCAGGCCACCAAACGCGGACTGCGTGACTGAACGTCGACGATCCAAAAACTACAACAAAAAATACAGGTCCGTATTTGAAAATTCAAAGCTGGGTTGGCCCAAGTCAGATGACACGCTATATAAAAGATTCATGAACATATTCTGATAGCTCACATCAAGTGCCAATAGCAAAATTTGGACAGATTTTGAATATTTCTGTGAATGAAGAAGATATAGGCAAAAAATAAATTGAGATTTATTGGTTTTTCCTGTATATCTCCAAAACCAAAAGATCTATATTCGATTTTTTCACATCAATGAATAGGTCACTAAAATACGCAACTTTGCTACAATTTAACCGACACTCTATCTCTTATCTTTTACGAGATCCCCATGTACAGAAACGAATTTGAATATCCCTTTATATTATTTGCAATGATATACCACTTATTATCTTTCAATAATGTTCTACCTGCAGAGAAGGAGTAATCGGGATTCTTGTTCCCTACTGTTATATGTATAGTGGTCAACACTTGCCGAATAAATTTAAGCCAAATTTTTTTTCCCCATTGTAGTTCCTGATAGAAGTTGGCACTACTATATTTGCCAAGCTGTACATTGAAAACAAAAAAAGGAAATTGTGTGAAATCTATTTTTCAGGATTTTTGGCCGTAATTTGCCGGTTTTTATGTCTGTTTATGTTTATGCCTGTTTATGTTTAGGCATAAAAACATGCAGACCGCGGCCAAAAAACCCGGAAAATAGCTTTCAAAAAGTTATCTACGGCCGTGAAAGTTTACTTTGGAGAAGGGAAATTCTACTTTGTATACTACCCATCCGTACTTATGGACCATTTTTTTTTTCTAAAATATAAACCAAAGATTTTTCAATACAACATAAATCAGGTTAGGTAAGGTCCAAAGTGAGTGGGTTTATTCAACCCTCCACCGCAACCCGTAAGGGTTTATTGTGGCTCACACCTATTCACACTCGACCAATTGAACCCAACTTCTTAACGAAGCCGATTAGTTTGTATGGTGAGTGGTCTTTCGAATCAGATGATAAAAGTAAGGCTCTGTCGAACTCTAAAAACCTGCTTTGGTCCCCAGTGGGGCAGGCACAAAGTATGTACTCTCCTGTTTCATCATTTTCGAAACAGAAGCAACACACACTGTCTTCCGACAGTCTGAGGCTCTGCATATGACGATTCAAGTGACAGTGACCTGTGAGAAGGCCTGTTAGACATCGTAGTTCATTCCTACTGTAGTCCAACAACTATTTGGTTTCAAGCTTTGAAGGGTGAATAAACGCCAATCCTGGAAGTTTCTGCCAGAAGTCCATAACGCTTAAAGCGATGCCAATGACAGGTTCTGGTCCGATGAAGCTGCTTGTAGCGCCCTCCTTTGCAAGAGAGTTAGCGTTATTGCCTTCCAGGCCAGTATGGCCAGGAATCCAGACCAGAGACAATTTGTTGAGTCTTCCTATCGAGGAGAGTCGTTTTTGGCAATTTGCTACCAATTTAGATGTTGCTCCATAGTAGCAAAGACCTTCCACCGCCGCTTGACTGTCCGAGAATATTTTTATTTTTTCTTCCAATCTCTACGCACACAATTAGAGTGAACTTCCGCTTGAAATACAGTCGCATAAGAGCAGGTTGATATCTCTGTCCTGAGTCTGCGAAAATATCTGCACCAGAACCGGATGGTGTTTTTGATCCATCTGTGAACGAACAACTATCTGCTCTCAATATTTCCTTCTTCCGAAATAATACAACATATACGTAGAAGTTTTATCATTTATTCGTATTCAACCTATGGAATGATTCATTGATTGAGGTCGAGGAAAAAACTATAAAATCACATGAACGACAATTCAATAAATTTAGCAATCAATCATAAATAACATCCATAATTTGACTCCACGTTATGAACTTGTGATATACTGTTTGGAACCTTTGGTGTAGTAATGAAAATTACTGAAGTTTTTTCCCAACACCTAATCGTTATTTTTACACTTCGACACGTGTTTCGATCACCAAGTGATCATCTTCAAGAGGAAGATAAAACTAATAACTACTCAAAACTAAAGCTACTTATACTAATCAGGTACATAAGTCTAGTTCTCGAAAAGGAACTAGACATCATCAAAAATAATCTTCAACGGAATGGATACTTCAAAGCGATGGCAGAACATTTTCATTCATATTCTGACAGTAGTTCATTGAACATACTATACCATTTTTTGTATTCAACTGAAACAACAAAAAATGATACCAAAAGTATTTAATTCAAAGTAGGTGCTCGAAATGACGACCATCCTGTTGAATCCACTCTATCTATGAAAGACTGCTTAACATTCAATAAAATTTGAGGCGTCACTCTTCGAAAAGCAACCCTTATTCTCTTCTTCATATTTTCCAGTGTGGTTGGAGGAGTATCGTTAAGATCATTCTTCAAGTATCCCCTCCGAAAAAAATCGAAACAAATCAAATCTGGTGATCTTTGAAAAAGCCAATACCCGAAAAACTATTTAGGTTAGGTATAGGGAAGCCTAGGATGAAATGAAAGATAATTGAATTTTATATTGTTCAGACCAAAATAATACAGGGTTTTCTATTCGAAATAATAAAGTCCGAAATTATAAAAAAGTTCATTTATCTCTGATGAGAATGTACATATATATTCTTTGCAATTATATACCACTTATCATCTTCCAAAAATGTTCTACCTGCAGAAGAGGAATCGGAATTCTTGTTTCCTACTGGTATATGTATAGTAGTCAACACTTGACGAATTTCTTTAGGCCAATTTTTTTCCAGATTGTACTTCCTGATAGAAGTTGGAACAATTAGATTTGCCAAGCTGTACATTGAAAAAAAAAAAGGATATTGCGTGAAATTTATTTTTCGGGTTTTTGGCCTTGATCTGCAGGTGTTCAATCTTTGTTTGGCAAAGCTTAAAGCGATGCCAATAACAGGTTCTGGTCCGATGAAACTGCTTGCAGCACCCTCCTTTGCAATAGTGTCAGCATTCTCATTGCCTTCCAGGCCAGTATTGCCAAGAATCCAGACCAGAGATAATCTGTCAAGTCTTCCTATCGAGGAGAGGCGCTTTTGATAATTTGCTACCAATTTAGATGTTGCTCGGTAAGAGCCAAGAGCTTCCAACGCCGCTTGACTGTCCGAGAATATTTGTATTGACTTTTGTATGAGATTGGATTCTTCCAATCTCTCCGCACAAATTCAATAGCGTAAATTTTCACTTGAAATACAGTTGCATAGGTTCCTAGGCAGGTTGATATCTTTGTCCTGGGTCTGCGACTGAAACTACCAGCACCAGAAACGGAAGGTGTTTTTGATCCATTTGTGGAGCAACAAGTATCTGCTCTTAATATTTCCTTCTTACGAAATAATACAACATATACGAAGCTTTATAATTTATTCGTATTCAACCTATGGAATGGTTCATTGATTGAACGACAATTCAATAAATTTAGCAATCATAAGTAGTAACATTCATAATTTGACTCCACGTTATGAATTTACTATCATGCTATTTTCGATGAATGTAATGAATAAAATAAGGCAACCTTCAACAATATTTATAACATTGTAAAGTACGTAAAGAATGATTTGTAACAATGAATTGTTTTTAATACATTTTCGTCAATTTCTAGATATTTCAAAATTCCATTTTACTAGCATACTGAAATAGGATAATTGAGAATATACATTCCCTATTCCATAAATGTTTCTCGAAGAGTGATTTCCTGCCTAGAAGAAGCGTCACTCAAAACATTCACAGTTCTTATCACCGTTTCATTCTCGAACGTATATCAGTATTTACAAAATCTGCGGTTCTCAATCGTTTCCGTTCCAGAGTGAATTAACGCCAACACCAATAAAAATTATTATTACGTTACAATTCATTGTGTTAGAAGCATCAACATGAGAGTTCTCATCTTCTGCCTCCTGGCGCGCCAAATTTTCTGCCAGGATCTTCCCTGTCCGGTCTCACTCACCATCGACATCTCAGACGGCCCAGTAGAGGGTGGATTCGTTAAAAACGGGGTAATGTTTCACGAGGGTGACTATTTCAAATTAAACGACACGACTTTGGGGTGTGTGTGCAACATTCTCCCTTGCATCAGGAAGTGTTGTCCTGAAAACGAGTCCTTTGATGGCACCCAGTGCGTGGAGAGCGAAAAAACCTTCAACATAACCATTTACGATGGAACTACTGTTAGTGGAAGAGTGAAACAGGGTGACTTTTATTTGATTCGGGGGGATGAGTGCTCATCTGAGAAGCATTATCGAATTGGTATCTACCCAAACGAGAGCGCCGTGTTGGTACAGACCAACGGGTCGTTGTTAGTTCAAACTTTTGAGGTTTTCTACAGTCCAGAAGATTATTGCGTTGAAGTGGTTGGGACTGAAACCATAGCATTCGTTTGTGAAGTCCCAGAAAGTGAAGTTGAGGCAAGAGTTTTAGCTTACGGTGAGTTAGTGATTTTGCAGTAAAATACTTTTGTGCTAGCAGAAGAAATCCAAAACAAGCACTTTTCCCAAACACCAGAACTGAAATAATTTTTATGTTCTGATGCACTGTTTGGAAACTTTGGTGTAGTAATGAATGTTACTGGAGTTTAACCCCAAAACCAAACCATTATTTTCAACACCTTGACACGTGTTTCGATCACCAAGTGATAATCTTCAAGAGGAAGGTTAAAGTCAGTTTGAAGAAGAAGGATTGAACTGAATTTAATTTTTCTCTTGAAGAGGGAACATTAAACTGTATGTAATCATTTTCTTGAAGATGATCACTTGGTGATCGAAACACGTGTCGAGGTGTTGAAAATAATGGTTTGGTGTTGGGAAACAACTCCGGTGATATTGATTACTTTTCATCTCATGGAGACGGTCTTCATCAACTGGAGTTGCGTTATCTCCTGAAGACGCCAACTTGGTTGATGAAACGCGCGTCAAGGAGAGTATTACGATTCTGGTGTTTGGAAAAAGTGTTTTGGATTCGTTTTGCACCAGATGTTCCAGCCCTATCTTTTACCAGCAAAAAAAATGAAGGCAAATTTCAGGATGATTACCAAAGAAATTAGTATCATCTGGATTCAAACCTCAAATCTATGTTTACCTGCAAATAATTATTTCTTATTATGTATACCCAGAGCACTATGAATGAAACTTGAAACTAATCAACATTATTCAATTTCAGTTGTTGAAGTTATCTACCTATGGAAATTATGAATAATTTACTGGTATAGGTCAAAGACCTAGATAATAACGAAAAAGTTTCATTATAAATTTTGAAAACACGGGGGATTACTCAAAGTTTGAATACGATGTATTTCCTTTTGGTTTATCGAAAAACTATGTACTTACCTCCGGTAACTTTAGTAATATTGATATCCTAGTAAACAAACTGTTTATTGACAATTTTACTTGCCTCATTAGGCCTGACCTCAGTACATTATTCGGTATTTTGGATCTTTCTATGGTGCCATGAAGTTAAATCATTGTTCACCATATGCCACTTTGAATCTCTTCATACTGTGTGAAAAAGCGGCATGGGTTGGTTTCAACCATTGTATTATATCACTATTGAATAGGTGTTTCCCTGAAATACCCAAACTGTCCACACTATAATTTCTACAATATTTGGTGTACCGCAAGCTTCAGTTTTTGGGCCATTTTATCAGTTAATATCAGCAAGTTTCAGGAATTTTCCATACTGAGACAAATGAACCAGAATAGCTTTTTTCAAAAAATCTTAAGTTCAATTCGAATAATTCAACTCAATTGTTTGCAAGACTTTATGATAGGGAGATACATAACAATATATTGAATGAAAAATATGACACACAGCAATTTAGAGTTTAAAAAAACAATACAAATATTAGGTTGTGTCAGAAGTTTTGACCGTTTTTATGAGTCTACTGTAAACTGTAATGTCCCAGTATCGTCGGTAGATCCTTTGCCGGCGAGAAAGTTATCGAAATGCTTGAAGAGATAGTAGTCGGTTGGCGATAGGTCTAGAGAGTATGATGGGTGAGGTAGAACTTCGATGTTCAATTCGTTTTCGCGGAGCAGAATCAGACGTCTTCTGTTGACCAGTGCCGGCTGTTGATGCAATTTTTGGTACGTTTCACAGATTTCTTCACAATAAGACTGTTGTGATGGTTTGACTCGATCACAAATGCTGCTGACCACTATACCATGGTAACCATGGTCTTTTCTGGTACGTTTTCGCTTTTGGGAAGAGCCTGGATGTCTCAACGGTGTCCAACCACTGTCCTGAATGTCTCCTGTTGTAAAGTACGTAGAGGATCCATTTTTCATTACATGTTACGATCGGGTTCAAAAAATGATCGGTTTGGTTGCGCAAAAGCAAAGAATAACATATCTCGAAACGTGACAATTTATGTCGATCGATCGTTCACATCATGGGTCACACAATTTTCGAGCTTTTTGACCTTTCCAACAGTGGCGGATCAAACATTTTGCCGCTCTAGGCCCCGTCTAATACGCCGCCCTTTTTGAACAACCAAATTCTGTATATTTTGATTTACAATTGTTATTAAATAAAGGTTTTATTTTATTCAAATATAATTAATGAATAATACAAAACAAATTTTATTAAACTCTAACATAATAAATAATAATAATAAACATTTTTCTCAAATAATAATGTATTGCTCAATTTGTAAATCTCTTCTTTCTGGCTTTTGTCCGAGCAAAAGCATCAACTATGTCATCGTAATCAATTTCTTGAACTCGATACAAGATTTTTTTCCAGGACAAAATTTCCTCATCGAGTTGTTTTATTGGACGTTCATCAACACGCTCTTGAACGACTGCTCGAGCTTTCAAATTGCTAACGTTAGTTTTGTGAAAATCAGAATTTTCATGAGCTTCGATTCTCTCTTTTGAATTTTTCCAATCGCGAAAACCTTCTGCAGTGAAAGCGTTCATTTCACCACTTTTACCAAATAGTAAACATGAAACACAAAATACAGATCCTTTTGTTTGGGAATAAATTAACCATTCACGGCGTTGAATTTCTCCGTTGAAAAGCTTTTGCCTGGTGCTCAGTCTAATACTTCTTCACGTTTGCATTTTTACCAAGTTTCAACTTCAACAATTTCCTTAGTGGTTCTGTGAGCGTTGCAAGGTTTGCTAGCCATTTTCCTATATAGATGATGAGTCCAAGAAACCTTTGGACTTTTTCAATTGTGTTCGGTTCACGAAAAGACCTGACGACATAACGGGCAAGTGGTTTGATTTCCTCTGGCGACAATTCATGGCCCAGAAATTGAACACTTTTCATTTTGAAGACGCATTTCTCCCTATTTAGCAGCACGTTATTTGCATTAAGATCTTTCATAGTTATTTGTAATCTTTTATCATGTTCCGCTTCATCAGAGCCAAATTGGAGGATATCATCATTGAAATTTGTAGTTCCTTCACAAGAGATCAGTATTCGCTCCAATGATTTCTGGAAAATCTTTGGGGCGCAAGGTATACCGAACATCAAACGCTTGTAGCGATATAGTCCCTTACTAGTAATAAATGTAGTAATATATCGGCTGTTCTCTGAAATTTCGAGTTGGTGAAAAGCATTCTTGATGTCCAATCTTGGCAGAAGTATATCCATAGTAGGAAGTGGATGATTCTCTCGTATTAGGGCCCTATTGGCAATCCGCATGTCTATGCAAATACGAATATCACCGTTTTCCTTCAAGATTGCAACCATTGCTGAAACCCACCTAGATGGACCATGAACGGGCTCTATTATATCCAAGTCGATCAGTTCTTTTAGTTTGGATATTAACTTCTCTTCTAATGGAATAGGTACCCTTCTGTAGGGCTGGCAAACTGGATTTACACTTTCGTCAATCGAGATATCAATAATAACATCTTTAAATTTCGGGAAATGACTGACACTAGTGACCTCTATTCTTAGCCTGAGAGCACCCATTTCCATAGCTGTTATCTTACCTAGTAGATTTTTCGAACCATTTTTAATTACATTAAATATAGCATTTTTTCGTACCCCGCTAATTTCAATCTCTGCTTCAAAAAATCCCATAGCGTCTAAGGGTTTATTACTCGCGTAAGCTAAAAATATTTTTTCCGCATTTTTCACCTGATTGAATACACGTACCTTATTTTGTTTAAGATAATTCCAAGTGTTATCATTGATAAGATTGCTTTTACAACCTGAATCAACCAAAATGTCTACGGGGACAGCTCCTAATTTACATTTCACTGTATCGTCATTGTTAATGTGGAATACGTAATCAGTTTCTTCTTCCGTTTGAAGATTATTATATTTCAAATTTTTGACTTGTTTGTTTGACTGCTCAGTAAATTGTTTTCTTTTAGAAAATCTTGTTCGACAAAGTTTCCCGAAATGACCACGTATTCCACATTTCCTACAATCAACTTTCCTCGCTGGACAGCTTAAATCTTGATTATTGTGACTTTTTTTCCCACAGCGGGAACAGGTATTTATATGAGAAATATTTCTGTTACTAAAACTGAGTGCATTTATCTCCTGAACTTTGTTTCGAGCAAATTCTTCCATTTCTCTGTTCACGGATTCTAAAATATTTGCTTCTGATATAATGGCATCAAGACGTGATGGGTATAGAGTTCCATGTCACAAGGTGCAGGGCCTGCCTCGAGGCGCCCGAGACCCTAATGCACTTGCTATCAGCATGTCCAGCATATGCAGTCTCGGCCTATATCCATCAACATAACGCGGCCCTAAGAGTGCTATATTACCATATACGGCACTCTTACGGTATTGACGAGACACCAGTGTTGCCCTACGCTCCGGGGGATATTGAATCCGTTGTGGAGAACAAGAAGTGCCGAATTTATTGGAACTATTCGTTCCCCACCCTCAGGCTCATACAAGCTAATAAGCCTGATGTAGTCTTTCTCGACCACCAGACCAAAACGATATTTGTCGTGTAGACGATAAAACCTTAAGGAAAAAGTCGCTGGGGGTCCGATTCGGAGAATAGGGTGAATGCGAGAGCAATTCAAAGCCCAGTTCATCCAATTTCGCAATCCATTTTCATTGATTTGTGACACAGTGCATTGTTTTCTTCTAAAGGGGCCGTTTTCCGCGATTTAGTCTGTCAAAAGCTCCAATAACTCTATTGATGGTTTTCCCTTTTCAATATAGGCGATGGATATTATACTATCCGAATCCAAAAATACTGGTACCATAAACCTGCCAGCCAACTGTTGCGTCTTTGTCCGCTTTAGAGTCAGTTCACCACGTGCAATCCACTCAGATGACAATTAGTAGTAGACGAAACGTCATGCATACAAATCCTGCAGACCATGGTCAAAAAATTCAGAAAATAGCTTTCACACAGTTATCTCCGGCCGTGAAAGTTTACATTCTTTCATTATTCTACAAATTGTTAGACACCGGTTGTTTTATTTATATTTAAAAATATTATTGAT